TTATTTTTTTCTACATAGAAAATGATGGGAACTATACTGTAAGTAACACACGCACATTAGATTTTCGTATATTTTGAGATAAAAAATAAAATGTATATTTGTCCATACAAAAATTTTTTTTTCTCTGAATCTATCAACTTTTCAAGAAATCATACAAGAATAAAAGTTGTTAGGAATGTTATTATATATCACATAAAAAAAATTTGCTCGATACTCCACAAGTTATTCCTATGTCCAAGAATTATCAATTTGGGCCCACTGTGTGGCGTTCCGATATGACCCTTTGGGACCAATGCAATATCTGCGATATCATACTTCTTGGAATTACAAATAAAATTAAAAAATATTATTTCGCACGTTCGGTGTTCTCAGCCTAAAATCACCGTAGCCATTGTTTTTTCTCGCTTCTTACACCCAGTAACATTGAAATATGAATAATTTTAAGCTAAACTATCAATATGTCTAAATGGCATTAGAATAGACAAAGTAGTGTTCTAGTTATTATTTAGAGGATGGAAACGTTGTGAGTTGCGATTGTTTTTTTTTACAATGTATTTGTATACGACTCCAGGTGCATATCCATTTTGAGGTAAAATATAGCGCCATCTAGTTGGCGTGTTTGTTATCACTAGAAGCAGATTTGATAGAATCAATGTGTCTATGTAAAATAATGTTACAAAATAGCTATTTGGTAATCGTCGCGACATCTAGTGTACCAATAGGTACTAAATACCCGGCTACGCTATCTTGTATGACGATTAGCAGTCCTCTTGAGTTATTGGTCCATGATTAAACTAACTCTAAAGTAACTAAATTAACTCACCTTTTAACTTTCAATTTGGATCCAATATATGCAAGAGCCTGGGTCTGTGTGAAGACTTTTAAATTATGACAGTCCAAAATGCAAGGTGCCATTTTCTTTACTGTCAAATCATCAGTACCTATTAGCTGCATGATCTCTTGATCACTGCAGATCCCCATGGCTTTGAAGGCAACTGCTATTGGTATATCCTAGAAAATTATGTTTAACTACTTAACACAGAATGCTATAAGAATTTTATATAAAATGAGATTATTTAAATGAAAAACCAGATAGAAAAATATAACCAGAGTGTTTAAAAAAATAAAAAACCAGAAGAGTCTACCTACAGCAGTATCATTTTGAATATTATTAATTTAATATTCGATTTCTTTTATTTTTATTTATTTTATAATGTAAGCCAATGTTTACAATATGTCATGATTTAAATAGTTGTAATCAACAATACTCAGTAATTAGTATATAATAATTTATAATTACATCAGACAGAGCATTGTGCCTCAGCACATATTTTCCATTTTTGACTATGACATTTGTCCTGGTCTTCTTCTCATGAGTGGAACTGGTCACCTGGCACTGTATGGCTCCTTTGAACTCATCCACAATCATCCTATTTCTGGACAATTGTTCTTGTATAAGGATCACTTTTTCTTGACCTGAAATATACCAAATGGCAGTTTTGTAAATATTGTACCTCAACTAAGGCCATGTCAATATAAAGTACATTTATATGACAAGATTTGTCATGTTTTCTCTGAAAATTTGTAGCAACTGAAGATCTGTAAAACGTGCCCTGACCGTATTTGCCTAGGACCATGATAAAGCAAAAGCATGTAAAGAGAAAAAAACAATAACAGAAATATGAAGAAATCATCAGCAACATCCACAGCCCAACTTCACTAAATGCTGAATATACACGCCTAATACACCTCTAGTAGTTTGAAGTAATACGGATATCATTTTAATTCTGGTTTGTGATGCTCCGTAACGGTTTGCTGGTCTGCCACGTAGAGATCCTGGATTCGATTCCCGGGCCGAGAGAAACATTTGTATGGCTTACATTTATATCTCTCGTGAGTGTGGGTGTAATTTGTGGTTGTCTATGTGTGTGTGTCCATGGCACCCGCGCCACATGGTTTCCCTAGTGCGGGGCTATGAGTGTGTGCGTTATTTATTATTATTACAATAAATACACGAGTACTATATCAAGTATAGAAATTAAAAAAAAACAGTATTTTTACCTCTAATGATAAAGTAGCCACCTGGATCGTGCGGGCACTCATGTAAATGGGCAAGTTCATAGTCAGATTTGCCTGTCAAAACACAGTTTGAGGACCTCAGCATCAAAGGCATTCTGAAAAATTAAAAAAATCTATATTAAATCTTTTGAAACATTAAATATATCAAGAGTTTAAGAAAACCATTGTTTCATGGAGCTTGCAAAGGGTCTTCCCTGTTAAAATGTTTATTACTTTAAAGAGCTATTACAATAGACGTTCTTTATACCAGTGATCGGAATTGAGGGAGTTAATTTAGCTAAACTAAAGAATAAAGTGGACATTTCCTCTTTCAAATACTGGGACTTCGCTGAACTGATCATATGTGTATATGTTTATTATTTATTGAAATTTTAGTACATTGGCAAGAAATTATTATTTCATAGTAAGTATTTGTTACAAATTATTGTCTCATAAAAGTAATACTGTGTTGTTTCTATAGGTACTTACGTATTTGAATACTTTGCCCATTTCAAAAATAAACATATCGTCGGGGATAATTTTCTTCTTCTTATCGAGTCAATAACAAAAACCAACAAAAAACCACTGTTATATTACTTTAGCCCAGTAAGCAGCCACCTCTATCTATCTATCCATTGCCTTTAGTAGGTCTTCGCGGGTGCAGCTGGTCGGACACAGTGGGCATAGAGCAAATGAGACATAGTTCGTGTGGGGGATCCGCAAGCACAATGATTTTGAGTCGGGTTAATATATCCCCATTTCACCATGTTTACATCGTCTTGTGACCTGAGACGATTCAGGGGTTTCCTTAATGACTAATGCAGCTCATGCCCGGGGGGAAGACTTCGGCTGGGGTAATAAAATCAAGAGGAGCAGCGAGTTTGGCTTGCCAAAGTTTGCACCTCGCGTGTGTTGGACTACCTTTTATAGCCGTAGGTAGTATGTCGAAGGAAGCTTATGAGTAAGCTTGAGACTTGATAGTCGTGCTGGTGGGAGCTTGTGGCCGAATAAATACGAGTACATTGGAAGGAGCAATACCCGCTAACGGAAGTAATAATGAGAGAGGAGTAGGCTTCAAGCATCCCGCTATGACGCGACATTAGTAGCAGTAGAGCTCCTTGTGAAAGAGTTCTGCCGCTAATCAGTAATGTCAGCATTACTGCGTTCCGGTTTGGAAGGAAAAGGTGCTGGTGAAATTATAGGCATATGGGACTTGTCAACTTATGTCTCAGGATGACGATAGGCGTGATGATGATAGGCGTGTCGCTTATAACCAGCCACAATGTTTGTTCATCCCGTTACTTAGTATTATAAAAAAAGACAATCATTCAGGGCCATGTCGACTTCCCTTGCGTGAGCGGAACGGTGCTACACTAGACATGCAAATTTGCCCACCGAGAAAGAGAGCGACAAGCCTGTAGTCTGCGGCACTTCAAAAAATCGCCCCCCAGGCTGTAGATGAGTCGCCGGAGAAGATTGTTTCTAGTGCCCACTTTTCGTTTAGTCTTATGGCAGTGTGGTTTGTATCTCAGTGCCCTATCGAGTTATACCCAGGATCGTGGTTTCGGGCATTGCTCGATGGGGGCACCTTGCCATGTGATACTCAAGGTCCCGTTACACTGACGATTTCTCAGATGGTATGCACATGACTGATGCTTAGAGGGATTAGGACGAAGGGTGTTGTTCTTATAATAAATTGCGAGTATTTCTAGAGCAGCCGACAGGCTCTCTTCAAAGGCGTCAGTTTGAGCTAATGCCAGGTCATCGGCATAGAGAAACCGCCGAGTCTCTGAAATGCTTAGCTGGTCGTTAGTGTAAATATTGAAAAGTGTCGGCGACAGTGCAAAGCCGATATGTAGCTACGCAAAACCAAATTTTACAGGAAAGGGTTTTAACGTTGTTACTTTGTTATTTCAATGGTTAGGACTTTCATTTTTGCATAGTAAGCATTAATTTGTCGTATACAGACTCAATTAGATTCCAGTAAATCATGGTAATATGGTTGCCACGACATTTACACGAATTTGATTTGGCTACGAACTGGAAACTCTAACCGTAAGGTCCGCGATATTGATATCAAATGCACGCTATGTAAATAGTATAGTAAAAAAACCATACAAGATAAATGTTTTATTCATCGAAACAAAAATTATGCGAGTATGTAGCACAATTTTTGTTTTTTAACCTACTTCAAAAAAGGAGGTTGAGAGGTTGAGGAAATTGAGATTCGACTTTATGTTTTTTTTATGTATGTTACGCGATAACTCCGGTATTTGTGAACCGATTTTCACGATTCTTATTTTTGTTGGAAAGAGGGTATCTCCAGAGTGGTTTCATTTCTTATTTATGTTACTGAATAAACAATTTTATTTATTTATTATTTAGTTCATTTTGAAGAAAATCATCCACCGCCAAGGCTGGCTGTTCACGCATGAAGATTCATTTTTATAAATAGCGCCTAAATTTTATTATAAGCAGCAATTATTTTAAGGGTTGATTTGGCTATTCTCCAATTCGAGGCGTTTTTCTCTCTCAATATACTTTGAGAAGTGAGAACCGATTTTTATTATATTTTAGTGGCGAACTAGGGGATGAATCCGGGTTTGCGTACTACCCGGTAACCGATTTCAATTTTTTTTTTGTTTTTTTAGTACTCTCTGCTGAGATTATTATATTTTTTTTACCGAACAAACAAATTTTTAATCAAACAATTATTACTTTAAGTATGAATTAGATAGTGTAACAACTGAAACTGGAAAGTTAAGTAGATTTTTTTTAGTCTTTATTTATTTAGGGGCTTTAATCGTTATTGAAAATGTCAGCCCTATTAGAAAAACAATATCTCAAGAAAACACTTAATAAAATTCAAACAGATAAATCAAAATACTACCTAACCAAACATGTATACAAAATCTCAGTGGCATTACATGTTGGCTCCGACAAAACAGACTGAAACCACCCAGCATTAAATGTACGGAAACCAGCCTGTCAAAATAACGGCGCCCTGATAGGTTCCTTCCGAACACACCCCTTGACCCACCACCACACACTTCGCAACTTCGCAAGTTTTAAGAAATACACAAAAAATTACGAAATTTTACCTATAGATGAATATTTTGGTAGAAATTCATTGGATCTATCCCGTAAGTAAACCACACATATTGCATTGTCCTACATACTCTAAACGAAAAAACCTTAATAGTTTTTTTCTTTGAAACTTCATTTTCTATAAACTATACAAGTATTAAAGTTATGTTTGATGACCTGTTCAGCTGTTTAAAGATCATCAGCTCTTTTCCAAGTTCATCAAGGAATCTCAGTCATAAAATGAATATTTATTTGAATAGCAGTATAGTATATATGAAAACCTGATGACATTACAATATGGTAACCTAAATTCGATGCATGATGAACTAGGACACACATACACAGACAGCAAATTTGATGAACTAGGACAGTCTGCAGTCTACTCAACCTCTCAACTACTTACAGCACTCTCTTCATGACAAAAAAAACCACAACTATGCGTACATTACACAGCAGTTGTGTCTTTTTTCATTCCGAGGGCAGAGCAGTGGTATCGTGTTTGGGCTCAATAAATTTAATTTAAGTTTTATTTTTTATGTGTATGTATGTTATAAAATATACAAGATTCCATTTACATAATTATTAATTGTAATGTAATTTAGAGTGTACTTATCATAACTCTACAGGAATTAATTAATTATTATTACAGCATATAATGGATTCCGCCCACAATTTTGGGCAGAAACGGGTTAAAACTGGGCATTAGATAAAAATGTTTTTAAAACCTGGGCAGTCACATTGGGTTTCAATCCACTGCCCATCTCTGCACCTGATGATAGATCCGTGGTATTGTTATTAACCAATTTTTTTTTCTGTTGGTTAATTACAACTGTGGCTCCCTATATAATACAACTATGTGCACTAACATGCAAAACTCAAATTGACTACATGTGTCAGATACATGGAATTATCCAATGCCAGTTATGCTTCAATGCACTGTCCCCGATGATTTTGGTCACCCTATATTGAGTTTGGACAACCTATATTTTGGTATGTTTGGAAAAAAAACAGGTCAAAAAAGAAATTTGATATGTATTGAGGATGAAATGGGTATGTCCATACTAAGAAAATGTGCATACTTTAGGTAAATTAACTCAAAAAGCAGAAAATAAGTCCTTTTAAAAAAATCCTTAAGTTAATAAATTAATATTTTAGATAATGAAAGTTTTAGTGAATTACTTATTATTTACACACATGTCATCACATCTGTCTCCCAAAAGGGTAGGCAGAGACCATGGACCTCCACCTGTTACGCTCCTGACAAACCTTCACCTTCTGCACTCCCATCAGTCTCTTTGTATATTCCAGTTTATTCTTGGTACATATTAATACTGAATTTAAAAAAATATTGTTACCCACCTTCCAATCAACTGCTTATTTTTTATAACCCTTTGATTGCCTCTAATATATTCTATATCTACAGTAATAGGCGCTGAATATGTCATGTCCCGTAACCGACACTCATGAGGAGTAGTAGGCTTTGTCATGTTGTAGCCTTCTTCCAAATCAGGGGTACCAACATAAGCATTCAAATATTTTATGTAAAACAAAGGGTCCGAGTCACAAAACACTTTTTCATTGGCTTGAACAATCTTTTTTATTTCCACATTGATGAAATAGTTAAATGAATCTATATGTTGTTTCACGAGCCCTTTTATTTGCAGAAATGAAGGAACTAATTTCCATTTATCCTGAAAGACAACAAAGTGTTAACAAAGCATACAAACAGCTACCAGTCATGTAGAAGAATATCTCTTATAATTAGCATACGCGTATCTCCTTTATATTAAATGTACAATGTAAATCCTATAAATAATGGCTTATTTGGATAAATCTTTAAGCAATAAAACTTTATTTGTATCAATAGCGAGTCTAGTAGAAAATAAACAAAACCCAATTTGTAGTGACTAACCTCCAGTGTATTGATAGGTTGTGAATTTCGGGAACATTTTGGTACGTCCCAATCTTTGAAATTTTTGCCTATTTCGCCCATAATACTGTTATAAGCCCTCGTAATCTCGTTTTTTACTACATATATCTGATAACATTTCAGTTTTCAGCAGTACGAGAGTACGTACATTTTAACTCACACACAGGCAGGAAACCTATTAACATAGAGAAACAATACGAGATTGAATGAAATAAATTCCAAATTCCAAAAGTATGTAAACGGCAAATTTTGTTTTTTGTTTTGACAATGACATTGACAATTTTTTTTTTCTTCTTTCCATAAAGGAAAAGGCAAAGGTTTTACACCATACAGCCAAGTCTTGGTACATTATTCTTTTTTGGTACATGAAGTTGAATTATGTTTCTGTAAATATGGCCGCCACAAAGAGGATAGGCAATTTGAGGCGGCGTGATTGGATTGACTCGGGATTCCTTAGAACGGGCCGATACGGGTATTTTAGTTCGAGATTCGTATAATTTCGCGTTTTAATCTTCGATTAAGGCACAATAGCACTATCCTATTCCACTTTAAACTAGATTTCACAAAATAATTGAAAGTCAAAATAAAAACGACACTTTTCCCTCCAAAAGGTCCAGAGCGAATCTGACATTGACAAACTCTTTGGTGACAAACGAATGCAAAAAGCAAAGCAAAGATAATTTCTGTAATGCCTAGCCATCTCTAGATGGAAAGGCGTATGGACTCTACACACTTTTACATAAACTTAAAAATTGACTCTACTCAATGCTCAAGTCAGGACTTGAGTATGATTTCAAGCACTGCAAATACGATCCTAAGGGCAAGGACTTGAGTACGATTTCTAGTGCTTTAAATCATACTCAAGTCCTGACTTGAGCATTGAGTAGAGTTCTGGAATAGGACCTAGGCTGGGACCGCACTGGTACGGCGGCGACGCGAAAAAATAGGTGGCCGCTTGTAAGTCAATGGTGGCCGCATTGCAAAAGCGAGAAGCTAGCGAAACGCCTCTACGTCGCTTAATCTAATAAATCTTGAGCTCTACGGCCGCACCGGACAGGTTAGGCGACAGTGGCGGCCGCACTGATACATCGCCGCATATTTTGTCGCAAATCGTGACCAATCGCCGTCGCACCGCTGATTGTCGTATGAAATTCAAGTGTCGTCGCGGGTCACTGAATAATTTTATTTAATGCAGAGCATTACTTGTAGAACATTTGAAATTTCTTTACGATATGAACAAATAAATTTCGCTTGTCGTGTCTGCAGTGCGGCCACCGACATATGTCGGTGGCCGTATATATGCCGTGGTATACTCATATAAACATATGTTTATATGAGTTTGTTTTCACGAAATCGCCGTCGCGTCGTAGTCACCTCAGTAGTGCGGCCGCGGCCTTAGACTGCATGTGGCGCACCTAAATCGCTTTTTTTAGGCCGACCGTATACAATGGGAATCGTTTCGAAATTCCGTAACAGAATATCGATTCGAGATGCCACATATACATCACATACATAATACATACGTTTGTTTCCGTTCGGAATAACAAGACTCATCTGAGAGTAGACGCGAAGCATTGAGTCCAAATGTTCTCGCAGCAAAAATACGTACGCATTTTACGACTGAGTATTATGGCCCTATGGCCAGCACGGCTTTCTTCATGTGGAATTCCAAGCACAAGCCTTCATACGGAATTTTGAATTGGAAAAACATTTGCACGGAATAGTATTAGTGTGATACTGATGAGTCCGTGATTTATATGGTTTTGTTGCCATCGAAATTCTGAAACGGATTGCGACTGTATGCGACCGATCTTATACCAGACAGAGTATAGTGTTCTGTGCATACAAGTGATGCCGCATTCTCACATTCGTGCGAGTGGCGATGCGAATGAGTGATGAAAGAGACTCAGTCTTTTAAGACCTTTTAAAAAACCTCGACTAATTTTCAACGCCTCACGACTAGTTTAGTCTTTTAACCCTCAAGTCTTGAATCATAAGGCTAAAACTGAAGAGTAATTCGAGTTGATGTCTTACAACCCTAGGAAGCTTAAAAGACTTATAGGCTTAGAATAATAACGCATAGAAACCTAGTCCGCACACGCTAAGTGAGGCAAATTGAAGCGCTCCCAATGGGCCTACACGAGCGGGCGGGCCTTCAGTGCTCAAGGTGAACTTGCACCGCGAACAGCTCCAGAATTTTAGCTAAAAATGACGAAATGTGCGGTAAATGAGTATTAAAATACGTCAGACAAACATAAAATAGATATTAACATTACATTCCATAAGGAAGTAACGCGTTTCAACTTGTATTTTTATATAAATATTCACTAAAACCGAAAATTAATTTCGTTGCAACAAGACACGAAAATGTTGCAAAGTAACGAATTTCTTTCTACCAATTTTGCTGTTCTGTTTCAAAATAATTATATTACGTACTTTTTTGAGAATAGGCAATATCGCGATGGCTGCAGATTTTTTCATTCTAATGTAAGTGTGCATTTGACCTCCATTTCTGCAAGTTGAATGCGTACAAATGTTGTTTACAAAGAGCAACCCCTAGAGTTTCTTGCTTATACTTCTTGAGGGAATCTGCCTTACGAATGAGCGGTAGAGTTTAACCAATATGACGATTTCAAGTGTAATAATGCTTACCTATGAAATAAAGATAATTTTGATTTTGATATTGGTTCTGAGTAACGTTTACGAGGTATTTGGGGGTGCTCGTTACGAATATAGCACTTATTTCTAAATCCAAGATGGCGGACACGATTTAAAAAAAAAACAATATGGGTATCCTTTTCGAGGTATTTGGGGATGTTCAATAAGAATATGGCACTCATTTCTAAATCCAAGATGGCAGACACGACAGTTCAAACAAAAGCAATATTCGTAATGAGCACCCCCAAATACTTCGAAAACGATACCCAACTTGCCATTATTCGAAAAAATCATACCCGCCATCTTGGATTTACAAATAGTGCCATATTCACATTGAGCATCCCCAAATACCTCCAAAATGATATCCAAATAGAATTTTTTTGAAAAATCGTGCCCGCCATCTTGGATTTAGAAATGAGTGCCATATTTGTAATTAGCACCTCCAAATACCTCGAAAATTATATCCATATTGCATTTATTTGAAAATTCGTGTCCGCCATCTTGGATTTAGAAATAAATGCTATATTCGTAATGAGCACCCCTAAATACCTTGAAAACGATACCCAACTTGCCATTATTCGAAAAATCGTACCCGCCATCTTGGATTTAGAAATGAGTGCCATATTCGTAATGAGCACCTCGAGGACCTCGAAAATAATTCCCATATTGCAATTATTTGGAAAGTTGTGTCCGTCATCGTGTATTCAGATATAAACGCCATTTCCATAAGGATTACCAAAAATAAATTTTTGAAAATTCTTGTCACTTGACATTGTCGATCGACAGTAACGATCGACAAAACCAAGCATATCTGTAGTGTAGGCACCTGATCGACACTGTCGATCGACAGTATGATCGACAAAATCGAGCAAATCTGTAGGCACCTGATCGACAATGTCGGGCAAATCTGTAGGCACCTTTAACTTAATGATGAGTTAAGCGAGATACAATTTCCCCGCTTTTGAGGGAAATGCTATTCCATGGCATCATTATTTGTATAGTTGTGTGCGTGCCGACGAGCGTAGATACAAGTTGCTTACGCCTACATGAATTCGATTTTTGCCTCACTTGTGACAGTTCGTGTGATATGAAACTATCATTCTATGCGTTATTATTCTAAGCGTATAGGACTAAAACGACTAAAACGACTGGCGCCTCATAGCCTCGGGAGTCGCGAGTCATGAGCCGTATGGCGTTTTTATTGTAAGTAAATAAACGTGATTATTTACTGCATACTACTTACGTCATTTTTATTTATAAACTCGGGTTTAATAAGAATATAAATAGGTATAAGTCCTTTGCAAACAACTTGAGTCGTTTGAGTTTTTCAAGTCATTCAAGTCGTTTAAGTCTTTTGAGTCTTTTAGTACAACGACTGAGTCTTATTAATAAAAACTCGAACCCAAAGTCTTAATTGTAGAGTCGAGTCCTGTAAAATGGAGTTGAGTCGTCATAAAACGCCTTAAATGACTGAGTCTCTTTCATCACTAATGCGAATAGCGATGCGATACACGAATACACATTATGTAAATGGTCAGCTCGTTATTCGCGTCGCGACTCGCATCGCCACTCGTGCCATCGCGTCGTGAGCGGTATTTCGAGCACGAGTCAAAAGACACAAGTAGCAACGCGACGTTAATGTTTACATATTTGTCCCGCTTCAGATAACAGCTAGAGCCCATTTCGATACATACACCTTGGAAAATAGATTTCTTGGTAATAATTTGTTCAATTTTACTCAGCAAATAACTCAATTGGTGACATTCTACAAAAATTTGAGAATCTTCCAGAATCTTCACAGAACATTACTTGAAACATAATTATTCTCCATAGTTTGGCTGCAACAAAATTAAGGCTGCAGGTATTTATAAGCAAGCATCTAGAAATAGTAAATTTGTTACCTATAGAAACGCATACCATGAGTTCTCATGCCCAACTTAGTGAGCATGAGATGATAAATTAATATACAACAGAAGTATGGTGTCGAGGACAGACCTTCTTTATAGTTTCTACTTATTAGTCTATGTTTAGCTCTTTGTCTCTGTCCTTTTTTTATACTCTGTGCTTGCTTTTTCTTCTGTTTCTCTTTACTGTCTGTTTCCTCTTAAATAATACACCTTTTTCCTTCCTAAACCGCCGTTTCCTTCGCTGTCCTCGAGATCCTGGTCCTTTCGAGCCATTAGTCCCGGTCCTGTTGGAGCCACTAATCTCAATTTCTGTTTTTCAAAAAGAAATTTTTTTTTAAATTATGCTTACGAGAGCGCAAGCAGCGAAAGAGATGGCGGAGCCCTCACCCTCTGAGGGAGGAGGAAAGGATAAGAGATCTCTTCCAGCATCCAACTCGTCGTCGCAGCGCGCGACCTTGATGGCGCGGCAGAAGGCCGCCGAAGCCAAATTAAAGCGCAAGGTTGCCGAGCTCGCGCATCAAGTTGCGAAGGCTGAAGAGGAAGCAGCACGTGCAGAGCTCGAGGCTGAGAGCGCTGCGATCGAGGCAGAAAAGACTGCTAGTTGCTCAACGACGGCTTCCATGAAGCGGACGGCGCAATGGGTAAATGACACCCGCAGCGCCGCGAGATCGCCATCACGCCTTATGGAAGGTCAGCAAGTCAGGTCTGTGCCACTGTTACCGGAGTGCAAAACTCCACGGTCACCATGCGTTGTTAAGGTACCACAATCTAATTTATTATGTGAGGATGTGCAACGCACCATGCGGGAGACGGCCGTCCACTTACCTTTCGGGGAAGGTGCCCCGTCACCTGCGAAGGCGCGCCACGAACCTCAAGATGTACCAATAGGCGAAGTTTGTCGTCTGGCTAACGCTATTACTTTACTCGCACAAAATTGCGATAGACCTAAATCAGTAATTATAGATCTAATCAGTTTTTCAGGGAATATTTCGGATTGGTCTTTATTCAAAAAGAGTTTTGATGATACCAAGGCTGCGTTTTCGGATAGGGAAAATATGGCGCGTCTGCGTAAGGCTTTATGTGGTGCAGCGCGCGAGACCGTCAAATCCTTGCTCCTAACAACAGATGATCCTGAATTGGTAATAAGGACTTTAGAGCTCAACTTTGCGCGCCCAGAGCAGATCGTTCTCTACGAAATAGCTGCAGTGCGCGCCCTGCCTAAGATGACTCGAAACTACGACATTTTCACATTTTCAGCTCGAGTACAAACATGTTTGTGCATAGTGAAACAATTAAACAGGCACGAATATATTTATTCACCTGAACTGGTACACACACTTCTGGCTAAATTAACATTAAATTTACAGGACAAGTGGTTGGATTTTGCGGATCATCACTTCGACCTTGAGATGCCGATGCTGGAGTTGTTGGCAACATTTCTGGAGCAGGAAGCTAGCAAGCGGGCTCGTTTTAGCCCCAGTCCTTTGTTGTGCAGCTCTACTCCTCACTTCGACAAGCTGAAGACGCAGCCGCCGGCGTTTCACCGGGTGCACGCCCACACCACAACAAACAAATTAACTTGCTTGTTTTGTTCATCCGACCACACAATAAAATCATGCCCCAAATTCATTTCACTCTCCATTGACGAGCGTTTGTCGTGGGTTCGCCAGTCGAAAGTTTGTCCGAAGTGCATTCGCAAAGGCAAGCACAATTGGCGAACATGCAAAGCCAATTCATGCAACATTTGTCGTTCGAATCATCACCATTTATTGCATTTAGATTCGTCTCATCCCAATAATAATTTCACGGAAATTCAACCGCATAAAAATTTCTCTACAGTCAGCGACGTCGCGGATGATGTGAAGCAACCCGTAGTTTTGAACGGACGCAATTACATAGCTCGGCTCATTGTGAGCTACTATCATGTATGGGCTGGACATGGTGGTCGCGAGATAGTTGTGAATGAACTTCGGCAGCGCTACTGGGTCATTCATCTACGTCCCACGGTCAGAGCAGTAGCTGCAGATTGCCAGATATGCAAGAACAGGAAAGCCAAGCCATCCGTTCCACCGACTGGAGACTTGCCTGCTGAACGCCTCATCCATCACCAGCGTCCCTTTTCCATTTCTGGTTTAGACTATTTCGGCCCTGTGGAAGTCGCTGTAGGACGTCGTAGAGAGAAGCGTTGGATCGCCCTATTCACCTGCTTCTCCACGAGAGCTGTCCATTTGGAGGTTGTGGGAAGTTTGTCAGCGGATTCTGCGATAATGGCTCTACGTCGTTTTATGTCCAGACGAGGATGTCCGAAGCAGATTTATTCCGACAATGGGACCGCCTTTGTTGGCGCCAGCCGCGAGATTCAGAGGGAGTGGAAGTCGCATCAGCCGATTATCGCAGACTTTGCAGCTGGCAGACAGATCGAGTGGCACTTCCTACCTCCGTCATCGCCCTCTATGGGTGGAGTTTGGGAGCGTCTGGTCGGATGCGTCAAACGAACCCTTGCAGCAACGCTAAAGGAGAGAGCACCTCGGGAGGAGGTCCTGTACACACTACTACTCGAGGCGGAAGGCGTAGTAAATTCACGACCGCTGACGCATGTGTCTGTTGAGCCACAGGATGCTCCAGCACTAACACCTAATCACTTTCTCTTGGGCCAATCGTCTCCACTCCCCGGACCAGTAGATCTCACGGACAACGACCTGGTGCGACGATCCAATTGGAAAAAAGCCGTGAGACTCACAGATCATTTCTGGAATCGATGGGTGCGGGAGTATTTACCGCTGTTGAACCCAAGAAGAGGACACAATACACCCGTCAAAAATTTAGAGGTCGGCGATGTCGTCGTGATATGCGATGGTAACCTACCGCGAGGAGTGTGGCCTAAAGGCAGGATTGTCAAGGTCCACCCCGGTAGAGACCACATTGTCAGGGTAGCGGACGTGAGTACGGCTGGTGGAATTTTAAGGCGTCCAGTCAGGAAGCTCGCAAAGCTGGACGTTAATTTTAGTGACTAAGTTATTTTTTTTTTCCATTATATAGTTGTAGCATAGTATTAGGGTCTGTCCCGGCCTGCTACTTAATGTAAACTGTTAGTTTACGAGGAGGGCGATGTCGAGGACAGACCTTCTTTATAGTTTCTAGTTATTAGTCTATGTTTAGCTCTTTGTCTCTGTCCTTTTTTTATACTCTGTGCTTGCTTTTTCTTCTGTTTCTCTTTACTGTCTGTTTCCTCTTAAATAATACACCTTTTTCCTTCCTAAACCGCCGTTTCCTTCGCTGTCCTCGATATATGGCTTTCATAATACATCGTACTGTCAATACAATAGTGTATTAACTCAAAAAGTGTATTTTTTCAGAATCGATGTAAAACGAATTACTCACTTCCGGTGAAAAAAATATTAAAATTTAATGTTGCAGTTTATTACAGACATCTAAACAATTTCCTGCTTGCTAAATTTATTTAAAAATAAAATTGAAACATTAACTTCATATTCTTGAGTAAGATTGTTTTGTTCAGAATATCCAGAATAATTGTTTCTTACAATATTCTAACGACGGTTTTATTCATCTGTAGACAATACAATTTTGCGTTCAACAATATCTTGAATTTCAAATATTTTGAGTTACGTCACTATTATACTAGCAGTGCTTTATGCTTATCGTGTATCGCACCGCTATTCGCATCGCGACTCGCACGAATGTGAGTATGCGTCTCAGCCACTCGACACGAATTTTCGTCGATTGGTTCGACGAGTGGCAGTGCGAATAGCGAGCATGATAGTGTAAATGCGATTAAGATTTTGACCAACGACAATTCGTTTACTTTCTTTTCTGTTCTTAATATCGAAAATGTCAAGTCAATAAATAAAGAAAAAATAAATAATAGTATGTCTCTGACTTCAAAGAATAAAAAGTTATGTGATGTGCTCAAAAATTAATGATTAATAAAAATACAAAATAATCTCTTTAATCCTAAAGTGAAGTGAAAGCCTAAAGTGAGCTATTTGGATATTAAAATGTTTCTGTAATGAAAGTCATTTAACCCACGATGGTTTATGAAACAATACCACGTACTGTACGCATCCTATTGCTTGGAGAACCTGGAGTCGGAAAAACTTCGTTAATCCTTTCATTAGTGACGGAAGAGTTTGCAGAACATGTCCCGCCAAAAGCTGAAGAGATTACTATTCCGGCAGATGTTACTCCGGAGCAAGTACCGACAAATATAGTTGACATAAACGGTAAGTAAATATTTATACCATCATACCATGAAACAACCTATAACTTGGAATGTTCTACAATGACCAATGTCATATTATCCGTGTTGCATAAAATACTTTGCTTTGTTCGTTATTTAATTAATGTATAGTTTAATTGTAATAAGCTATTGAAAATCGCTCATGATAAATATGTAGTGAAAGCTACAACATAGTTTAAATTAGAATCAGGTTCAATGGTAGATGATCATGTTTCCATGACTTCCGCAGGTTTTATTAGATCAATTTCATGTTTCCTGAGTATTCTGTAATAATTTATTATCTTGTATAGATACATAGATAAGGATAATATTATGGTATTGATACAATGAGAATCTCATTTTATCTTAAGTGAAAAAATCTTTAAGATAACTTGAAATATAAATTATTTTCAGAGCCATAAGCATGTGAGTAAAAAAATATTTCATTTAAATTTATTTAATTGTTTTGCTCTATTTTGTTTCATATAATTTATATACATTTTGCATTCAAATAATTTTACTTATCTGTCTATTAAGCATTATAAGGCTGTGTATGGACATGTCAAGTAAACTATTTCTTAAAAATTAAAAGTACTATGTTTCAGCATCAGAACAATCCCTAGAACAAGTGGGAGAGGAAATTGAGAAGGCTCATGTAATATGCATAGTTTTCTCAGTAGATCGACAGGAGACCTTGAACAAAATAGCCTCCTACTGGCTGCCGTTTGTGAGAGATAACTGTCATAGTGACTTTCGGAAACCCATCATACTTGTGGGGAACAAGATTGATTTGATAGACTATTCTGTAATAGATGTAAGTTCAAATTACTAATTGACATAAGTAAAGTAATTATAAAATTAAAACATCAAATCATGGTTATATTTATAATTGCCATAATTTTGGAACATTCATATAAGTACTTGGTGTGTTAAGGTGCTTCTGCACCGATTTCTTAAAACACATACAACTGTTCATAGAGATGGTATAATAATTTCTGTTAATGTTGATGTTGTAGTTACATGTTATATGTGTAATAAATAACTTATTAGAGATTTAGATTACTAGTTAGATTGCATCAAGAACATCTTACTTTTAGAACATCTGGGATATAGCCGAGGAGTACCCAGAAGTGGATAGATGTATTGAGTGTTCTGCTAAAACCCTCATGAATGTCTCTGAAATGTTCTACAATGCACAAAAAGCAGTTTTACATCCAATACATCCAATTTACTCCATTGAGGAACAAGAGGTAATTTATATGTATATGTAATTGGTACTTAATAATTTTATTAATCAGTATAATATATGCCAATTTTTGAGAATGTGCCTAAAAAACTTTTATTTTCTATTTCTTTGTGAATCATTTCCAATCAGTGCCACTATTAGCAAATGTGCTGATAATCGGGAAAAAATGCCACTGCAGACGAAATCTCCAACGGGAGTTTCTTCCCCTTTATGTGCACACTACATTACTCGCAACGGAAGTATGTCTTTTCTTTTGAGCCTTTTTTTGTAACTGCAGATTGTCAACTGTTTTGTCAACTCATTCAGATGGTTCTCAAGGCTATTACGGTATCTTAAGATGGTACTTTTGATTGCCTCCTTTACTGTGTTCATTTCCAGGTGTTTGTGGCTCTCTGAGTTTGTGACATACCAGGGCACATTAGCCATACTACGCAAGATAATGTTTTGCATTCTTTGTATCATGGATTTATTGGAGACACAGGCACTCTTGTTAATCTAATCTTGTTGTCAGATAAGACTGCAGCAATGGGAAATAGCTATGGGGAAGAGTTGTATTGATTGATCTTATATAAAAGTCCCTCATGCCAAACACGGTTGAATGCCTGTTGTATGTAGAGGAATACAGAAGAGCAATACTCTTTGTTTTCTAGCGCTCACTGGATCTTGTCACATACTCTATATACTTGTTCCATAGTTGAATGCTGTTATCTGAATCCAAACTGATAGTCTGGTATGATGTTATTTACTGTAAGTATTGGCAATATTCAGCAGGGCTTTTGCAAAGAGCTTTGATAATGTTGGTAATAGGCTAATTGGTTTAAAGGAGGTTACTTCATTTGATAGTTTTCCCACTTTATGTATGATAATTTGGGAGATCTTCCTTAAGTCTGGATAATGTTGGGTCCTTAGTATTACATTAAATAAGGTAGTAATTAATACAACCGCCTTCTTAGGAAGCTCCTTTAGAATTTCCTTTGTAATTAGATTGAAGCCTGATGCTTTCTTATACAGGATGTTGATTTGCATTCTCGCCATATTTAAGAAATTAATGATAGAAATAATGCTTAATCATCTAAAAATATTTAAAAAAAAATTCTGTTCTGCTAATTTTTTCTAGTAAAGTTTTGTAAAATTATCCTGCAAGTGTCTCTCTCCCGCACTCACCGCAGAGGACAGTGACCCCGCCACTCGCTTCACCGAGCGATACGCAATCTTTCTCGATCGCTTATTTACCTATTTTTTAAATCATGTTTATGTTCGTTTACATCACACACAAACCACGTTGCATTTCGTGACAACCTATAGCGTATGCGCGATGAACGCGGACGCAATACGCAAGGTGGACCGATGATCTACCAATCACGCGCTCGATACGATACTCCCCCCGTCTCTACTCGTACCCTGCCACCAAATAGATCGAAAATGCATATTTTCTGCACTACTGCGCATAGGTCATTGTTCAAATGGTTGCCGGTACCTGTGTCACGTGTAGTGCAAGTCAATGACCTTTGGAGCAAACTTGGTTACCGCAATTAAATAAAAAATAAGAATTTAGGGAAATTTATTTTTTTAGTGATTCGGATTCAGTTTCGGATATATCGGATATAGCTCTGTAAATATGGCCAGAATGCAAATCAACACATTGTATTTCAAGTCTTTAATAAGTCTCCAAACTTCTCGTACCGTTGAAGGCCGTGGTGGTGGTGACAACTGGTGCACTTGATGTAGCGTCGATTCAATTACATTTTCACACTCTCGGGTATGAGATTTGTTTGGGGTAAAGACTTCCGCTAACTACTGAGCAAATGTGTCAGCTTTTTCTTGTGATATTTTAGCCCAACTGTTGTCATTTTTCCTTAGAGGGGGTTTTGCTTCTTGTGGTCTATTGTATGCTTTTGTAAATTTCCACAGAGAGCACCCTGTAGCTGCAGTTGTGGTTAGGGACTCCAATTTTGTTTCAAGAGTTTTATCTCGCCACTGTTATAAGTAGTCTCTAAGTTCCGAGGCAGCTTTATCAAATCGAATTTTGTCCTCATTGGGTCTACCGTGGTGCCATACTCGACGCAGTCTACGTTTCTTGAGAACTTTTTGTTTTATAATTAGCGATTGGTTTTCAGCTTTAATGACGTTGTCAATAACGGATGTGTTTATCCAACATCCTTCTTGTATAAGCACCGTGGTAGATTTCGTAACGTTGTCAATGTCTTCTGGGGTTTTAAGTGATTTCTTAAGTTCAATGTTACTTTCTATATATTCCCGAAATGATTCTCAATCAGTGAACTTGTTATAGAGTGTGTCTGGTGTTCCGCAATTAATAATCATTGTACTTATCGTTAAAAGTACCGGCGTGTGGTCAGAAGAACTAGCACGATTCCACTTTAAAATAAAGCTTTGAAATCCCTTTTGCAATGAAAAATTCCAACAAATCTGGAATTTTTTTAGGATCTGTTAGCCAATATGTGGGTTCCGATGCTGAGAGAGAAATTAAGGTGTTTTTTGTCATACTCATTTAGCGCGTTATAAGACGTGAACCCCAGAAAGTATGTTTGGAGTTCCAGTCTCCTCCAGCCACGAGTCGGTATCACAGATGCTCAAACTGATGGGTAAATATAGGCTCCGTGTATCTAGGTGGGCAATAGACAGCGGAGAGATTCAAGTGTCCGCACCTAACTTCAACTGCCACTGTATTGGCTTGTATATGGTCAGTTTTATATTCTTGTAGCAAATGGTATTTGATTGTATTTTTAATTTTTATTTTTATTTAATTTTTTAACTGCCTCTGTGGCCGAACGGTTACCATGTCGGACTGCCACGCAGAGGTCCCAGGTTCGATTCCCGGGCCGGGAGAAATGTTTGTATGGCTTACATTTATATCTCTCGTGAGTTTGGGTGTAATTTGTGGTTGTTTATGTGTGTGTCCATGGCACCCGCGACACAGGGTTTCCCTAGTGCAGGGCTATGTTAAGTGTGTGCGTTATTTATTTATTAATTATCACCGCTGTCCCAGCATGGGCAATTCCATCAGAGTGGTTTGTCAAATATGTGTGGTACACTGGTATTTTGATATTTGTTGAACCGATACAATGCGTTTCTGAAACCAAGACTACATCCAGCTGGTGCTCTCTGATTAACTGTTCAATTTCGTCTTTATTTGGCGGCAGACCATTGATTTTCCAGATCGCCACCCTTAATGAAGCTGCCATCACAGCCGGCCTCTCCGTACTGTTTGCGGATGACACAACAGTTATGGTTAGCGCGCGCACGTACTGTTATAACCCAACCTAATATGGGTATTTTGCAAAGGTTGATATTTATATTAAAGCTGTACTTTTCCATAATGCAATGTGCAAGTTTTCATATTTTGCGTAAGCCTCAAATCAAGTTAGTTAGACATTGGCACTCGTAAAGAGCGGTACATCGCTCCGGGAATCGGGAAGTCAGTTAGTTATATATTGAGTGTAATTTTCTGCAATAAATCGGGTGTTGGGAAGTTAGTTCTTTTTTTTAAAAAGACAAATCGGAACGGCCGCCTAACAGTACGAACAGCTGGGACAGAGAATCGACGAAGGGTGTGAGCAGCTCCAGAGGTGGTTTTCATCGAATGGGTTGCTGCTGAATATCACTAAATCCAACATCATGGTTTTCTCGGGTCGAGGTCTCACAGTTCCTCCGTGTGTAGCAAGCAATCCGATGCCGATATGCAATGAGAGTAGGTTCCTTGGCTTCACTCTGGACTCGAACCTTAACTGGAAGTGCCATGATGACAGACTGTGTGATAGACTGAGTGGTGCAGTCTTTGCGTTGCGTAAACTGAAATTGGTCATTTCTGATTCTGCATTAAGACAGGTCTATTTTGCATATTTTCACTCGCTGATGTCGTACGGTTCACTCATATGGGGTAACTCCACGGATGCTTGAACCGTCTGACGAAACATTTAGGCGCCGGCTGAAAGACTTTTTCTTGAAAAATCCTATATACTCTGTAAAAGAATTTATGGACTTTAAATTATAACGAATTCAGTATTTTCTATTTTTATACTTTTATTCTAATTTTTACCGCATTAACATGCTCTTGTATAATTATCAACTTATGACGATCCTTGATGGAGAATGATATTTGATATGTAATTTAATGACAACAATATTATATAATGAATTGTTAATTTTCTAATTATTGTGTGCTTTTCTTATAATTTTTCTTTTTGTCTGACGATCTCAATATAATTTCTTATACTTTGACATGTAGTGCAATTTATACTGTAATGTTATATTTGAGAAATAAATGAATCTGAATCTGAAGCCATTAAACAAGTTTTATATATTTGGCAGCCGTTATACTTGACTAGATGTGGTCCTTGATACAGTGCGCACATGCCTGGGATATTGCGGTCGCGTTTAATGCATTCAGATGTTTTGTGCGATTCTGCACACTTAACTCTTCTGTATGGCCGCACACAATAGTTTTTCGTATGCCCGTATTGCTGACATCTTTGACATTGTACTAAAGAGCGTATTTTGTTCGGATCCTCAATTATAATTGCTTGATGGTATATATATTTTATCCCCTTAACAGCCCTATTTTTAGGAACTGACTGGCGATTCACGAAAAAAGTAGATGTTGGGCGTTTATCCTTACCAAATTTAGCATTTATGATTTCACCTGAGACAATATTACCAGTGCTTTTTATTTCTTCCTTTATTTTTGGATTGGAGTGGAAGGATGTAGATTCCTAATGACTATTCTGAAACAGTGCTCCTCTTTCCTATTGAACGTATGGCCTATGAGATTGTTCTCTCTTACAACAGCAATTACTCTTTTATAGGCTTGTTGCTGCAACTAATTCTGAGTTGGTTTTTGTTTACGATTCTGTATGTAAATTCTGTTCTTTCAGCAGCTGTTTCGAGAAGTTCTGTTAGTTTGCTGACATCTTCAATACCGTACAGGACAATTGGGGGAGCTTTGTTAGGTTTCTTACTGTCGGGTTTTGCGGTGTTTTCGACACTGTCAACATTTAATTCATTGAACTTGTTTGAAGTTGTAATTGCTTCCGGAGAAAAGCTTTGGAGCATTTTCCTTTTTTTAGCATTCTTGCGTGGTGACACTCTCTGCCATGGTGGACAAGTTGTCTGTTGTTTAGGATTATCCGTACCATATTCGTTGTCTCTTTGGTCATCCTCATCGTGTTTTGAAGAATTAGTATTTGATTCCATAGCTATATTTAATTAAGGCATGGAATTACCCCTAACTCGCGAGAGGAACATTGCAGGGTGAAATGCCTGCTGAACGAGCTTCTTGTTACCAGTATCATTACCAATCACCGCCTAGTTACCCACGTCTGCGTGGTCTCCGGTAACATATTTCACACCCTCCAGCCCGGGTACCAGGGGGCGCCGGGGGTCAGCCGGATCACATGACAAAACATTTCCATTGTCAGACCTTTCCATTTTTACGAAAGCGGGAATATTCGCACGCCACTTTCCCAAGGTAACGTTGTCACACTTTTAGGGAGTATTTAATTTCCCCCGGCCTGTAGTGGCCGAGGTACGGGTTAATTAACCGCGGCGTGGTGCCCGGGATTGTTTCTTAGGTTAAGATGGAGAATCCTACGGACGCAAGCAACTTCATCGCCTAAAATACTTGTTGATTATTTTTTAGTTGACAGAAAAATGCAAAAGAGCACTATCAAGGATTTTTAAAATCTGTGATTTGGATGGTGATGGATTGATGGATGATTATGAGATAACCATCTTTCAAAGGAAATGCTTTGACACTCCCCTTCAATTGCAGGTGAATATAGTGAATAACAAGTATACATACATAATTTTTTTGAATATTGTATTTTACTACAACAGTATTCATTTGTGTTTTTGTGAAATTTCTTCACTAGTTTCTTATAATTAATTATTAATACAAAGATCGAACACATAAAGAAGTCCCTTCGACCTGATGAGGCACAGCTTTGAGTCCTTTGTCTTTGTGTTCAGCTTTTGTTATAATAAGTGTACACTATGTTAAAATAAAACTATTTCTCTTCTACCAAATATCAGTGTTGGTGGCAACAAAATGATCAAAATACCGGACAATGGAAAAACATTATTATTTACTGCATTTTCTCTACCATTGTGCCATACAGACTACGTAGCTCTCACATTTGCACATGGATGTGCTACTGGCTAACAATCAGCAGATTGCTGCTAAAGATTTACTGCTAGGCCATTGATAAAAAGAGATAACTTTGATATAAATAACATTAAAAAATTCTGCCATGTAATTTAAACAGAATTGATTAGTTTTCAAATCAGGCTTTAGATTAGAAACTAATTTCTCCACAATTTCTCTGACAGGTTTTAGACGAAGTGAAATCTGTAATTGCGCAAAACATTGCTGGTGGGATTGAGAATGAGTGCATCACAATGAAGGGCTTCGTATTTCTGCATTGCCTGTTCATTCAACGCGGAAGGAATGAGACTACGTGGACTGTTCTGCGAAAGTTTGGATATGACGAGAGTTTGGATCTCACACACACTTATTTATATGCTAAGTAAGATTAAATATTTTACGTATAAATATAACTAATCAACGTGCTTTCAAAAGTAGACCAAGCAAAATGGAGATGAACTGGATGTCTCTTACGTTAGTCGGAAAAATGGAGCAAAGTAGTTGCAAATTGGTACCCATTGTGATGGGAAATATAATAGACGGCGTCAACATCAAAGATGGAAAAATGAGCTGAAGCTGACTGCAGGTTCCTATTGGAGAAGAATAACTCTTGATAGGGCTAACTGGAAAGATCTGGAGGAAGCCTATGCTAAGAGACAGGCTTGATATAATGTAAAGATTAAAAATGTAACTTATAATTGTGATGTAAAAAGTGTAATAAAAAATTTGAAATTTAGTTACTTAAATAGGCTTAGTAAAAAAAGATTTGAAGAAAGAACAGTTGATGCATTTTATCGTGACAGAGGTGACTTTTTATCGTGACTCATTCAGCCTTACATCCTTATAATAAGAGCCAAAAAGACGTTGCCAGTGTCGCATCCGCTCGCAGCGCCGACGCGAAACGCACATCTCTTTCACACTTGTTACATGGACATAAAGTTTTATCTGTCCGGCTCAATGTTATTCTGCGTTAATAAGCAACTAGCTAAATAAGCGTTTTTGACATATCGTCGGGGGTAGTGCAAATCCGCGTATGTAGTACTGGTAAAAAGCGCGTATCTGCACCAAACCAAATTTCACAGGAGATGGATTTAATGTTATTACTTTGTTATTTAAATGGGTATCACTTTCAATTTTACACAGTAGGCATTAATTTATGTTGTCAACTGACTGGTAACAATAGATTCCCGTAAATCACACTAATTTGGTTGCCACGACATTTACGCGGATTTGGCTCGTAATCAAATGAAAAATGTGAATCCTTGTCTATATAACTCCTCGAATTGACTAAAGCAAGTTGACACTCTGTGTAATAATACCATTATACTAGTTATAATTCATTATTATGTACTCAATAGATAATTCTGAAGCATTTGGGCCATTGGACTATGAGAAACATTAATGAAATATTCAAACTCATTGCAAGATACAGTTTTCCCTAGGGAATCAAATCATCAATACACAATATTAATGGCTCATACATTACTAACATTGAAAAACAATTACATTTTCTAATTTAGCATATGCATTTTCCCATGAGTACAATCATATGGCTTTCTTTAATAATGAGAAGTTACAATGTGGTCTGACAAAAAATTCTGAATATGAGTAACTAAGAGTTTAACAATATACTTATTTTTTGTAATATACATATATATATATATATATATATATATATAACACACACACACACACACACACACACACACTATATATTACTCATTCAGAATTTTTATATATATATATATATATAAACTTATAATTTTACTTATCGAGTTCTTAGGTTTTCGCGATTGTTACACATAGGAAATGAAACTATTATTCCGGATTTAAATCTTTTGTTTGAAAAAACAAATATACGCGATTTAAATCCGGAAAAATAGTTTCATTTCCTATGTTATAATTTTACTTTTTGTTTCAATTCCAATCCACTTTTAATAATATGGGTACTTATACTTTTTGTTTTCACTTTTAATTTCTTTTCAGTATAAAGATACCTGTAGGCTGTACAACAGAATTATCTTACAAAGGGCAACAGTTTTTGACGCAAATATTTGAGAAATACGACAGGGATAAAGATGGGATGCTTAATCCAACTGAATTGAAGAATGTGTTCGCTTGCTGCCCACGAATACCTTGGCATAACTTACGTTATACTGTACCAACTAATGAAAAGGTAAATATTGGGCTGTATACTCAAATGTATGCGTATGAGTGATGCTTACTTCGTCTTCTGGCCCCCTGTTTTTGATACTGAGTGACGAGTTTAACAAGTCGTGAGCCTGATGGTAAACGATACGCCTGTCCACAACAGTTGCAGTGCCACTCAGAGCTTTAAATCACAAAGATCTGACGGGCACTGCCACTGCGCCCGTCACCCTGAGACATAAGTTGACAAGTCCCATGTGCCTGTAATTTCACCGGGACCCTTACCATTCAAAACCGGAACGCAGTAATGCTCACATTACTTACTGCTTGACGGCAGAAGATGGCAGTACTTACCTAGATGAACTCTTTCATGGCTCTACTGCTACTAACTAGTCTGTACGCATCCATATGTTTTGTAAAAAATTACATTTAAAGTTGTTGGTTATGATGTTAATAATATAGTCATGCGAGTCTGTTAGTTTACAAATAGGTAAGGTACTTCCCTGGATTCACTTTTTCACAAGGAGCTCTGCTGCTACTTAGATAGTAAGAAAGAAAAAGTTCGTCCCTTGTCCGTTGCACACGCGTTCTATCATCGCGCGCCGTTTCAACGCTAATACGGCATGTAATTCTAATTTATATGTAATACGACGCAGCGCCAACACTCAGGCATCGCAACGCATCTTGTGGCATCGTTTTAAAGTGCAAGGTTCTCCAAGCAGATAGAATGACGATTATGTAATGAAAATCTACAAGGGGATTGATCAAGGCTCCGGAGGGGCCTATTTAGCAGTCAACTGCTGATAATGACATGTGGTATACAGTGGTTAACGCGTGCTGTAATTGTGTGTTTTGAATCAGTTAATGAAATCTGGATGGTTTAAGTTATTTTGACTTCAGGATCAGTATAAAAATCGCCTATAGTGGTCAATACTATCTGAGGAAGAGATAATGTCAAATGGAATATGTCTGCTATCGCTTTTTTTTTACTCTTTATTTAAGGGCTTTAAACATTAATGAACACGTCAGCCCCATTACAAAAACAATACCTCCAGAACACAACACAACATACTTTAACACTTAATAAAAACTAGACAGGCTATCGCTTTGGATTTGCGAGGGATGAGCAAAGCTTTAATTACCTACTCTAATATTTGTAATATTAGTTTCAAAATAGGTAGTTACTATGCTAGGCATATTTTTAAGGAGGAGAAATCATTTCTTCATATTTGTCATCTTTTTAGGGTTATTTGACACTGCAAGGCTGGATGTGTCGGTGGACATTGATGACTTTACTGGATTTGCAGAATACAAGTGCTTATCTGGCTTATTTAGGCTACAATTTCCTTGAGAGTGAGTCACAAAAGTCGGCTATACACAGTAAGTTTTATCATCTATTTCAAAAATTATTCTTGAAAACACAAAATTGGATTAATATAAAACAATAGAAAATAAACAAGTTCAGTAGCTAATTAATTACATGACATTGGTTCATATTTGACATTAGTAATTCTAAAAACTAAGACAACTTTGTTAATTTGAAAATTATTATGTAAAAACAAACATTCTCGTATGTTAAGTAGGTACATATTAAGTATAACAAAGGAAACTTTATGAAAACGCTATGCGTCAAATTTTATTGCTACAAATATTGTTTAAAAAAATCTTATTTGAATAGCAAATATTCTGATCAATGACTTCACGCGAATTACGTAATGTCTATAGTAACGCGCGAAAAGAAGGTGGACATTGCCAAGAAACAGTCTAGCCGCAACGTGTACCAGTGCCACGTGATCGGACCGAGATCGTGCGGCAAGACGTCCATCTGCAGGAGTTTCCTCGGCATCGCACATAAGGTCAGGGTCACGTATACTCAGCCATTTAGCCAGCTATAGATTTTTTTATAATATGAAGTGACAGGACGATCAAGTCGTGCACCTGGTGGTAAGCGACACTCTTATCCATAACAGGTGCAGTGCCACTCAGAGCTTTAAATCACAAAGACCTTAGAGGCACTGCCACTGTGTCGTCACCATGAGACATAAGTTGACAAGTACCATGTGCCTTTACAGGCACAATAATTTGAAATTACTTCAACAGCGCAAATTAGAACGATAACGTTGTTAAGTGAAATTTAATAAAAGTAATTAACAGTTTACCTGTACTGTAAATCTTAAATGATAATATAATTCATACGTCATTCACTCGTCGTTCTTTGATTACAGACATGATATAAATGTATCATTCAGTATTCTTATCGTAAACATGCACAATTTAGGCGTTGTTAAATCTCCTTACTTGGATATTACTACCTATGCAAAAGTGCTTTTAGATACTTACTACATTGTACTAATAAATTAGTGATGCAACGGAGTCACAAATAACGGAAACAGATATAAAAAATTAATTTATTAATAAAATTATTTTTATATAGGTATTTATATATATAAAAATAATTTTTATTTATGAAGATCTCAACGAAATATTTCCAAACAGATCTTGTTTTTGCTTTCATAATTGCATTTAACAGAACCTAAAAATGCTAAAACGCGCGCCCCGCCGCCTAGCAATCTAATTTGTCGCGAAAGTTGTAATGTTCCGTTATAAAAGTTACGGAAGCAGAAACTGAAACAGATGTCAAAAAACGTGCGAGACTTCCGCAGTTACGGAAGCAGAAGCCCGTTGCATCACTACTAATAATGGCTCAAAATAATCACAGTATGTTATAATTATAGAAAATAAAACCACAAACACAAGAACGGGGCGACGGTAATGTAACAGAGAACTGCTGTATAAACACCATCTTAGTATATGGACAAGAGAAATATTTGGTCCTGAAAGAGATCCCAATAACACGTGTATCGGATCCCCTACAACCGCATGAAGTGAATTGCGATGTCGCCTGCCTAGTCTACGACATGTCTGCTAGCCGCTCCTTTGAATACATTGCCAGAATTTACATTGTAAGTATAGTAACATAGACTACAAAATTGCATGGCAATGCTTTGTGAATAAGAGAAATTTATATTTGAAAAATATATATAAAAAATATGCATTGTTGATAGTAGAACTAACTCAACTCCGTTATTTTCAAACTTTTTTCTCATAAAATATTTGTTGAATGTAAAAAAAATATATTTTTTGCTGGAGATATCAAACAAATTCAACAATCAACAACTGTCTCAGATGTACCGCTGTTGACTGTACATTCTATAGAGGAATTTCACTCCCCTTCGCTGTTTTTCGTTATGAATGATACAACGAAATCTTGGCATGGTATCAATATTTACTGAATTCTAGAGTGTGTTTTGCGATCTGTTAAAGCCGTTGGTTGGAGATACTTTGTCCTTTCTTGAGCAAAGCTTTTACTTAGAAACAACCACAAACTAACTAATAAATACATAACCGAGAGGGCAGCATTATATTTGTGTCGTCCGAAGCATATATTCTTAGTTATTTCTGAACTCCTATATCGTTGGGAATAGTGCAAAACCGCGTACACAAAACCAAATTTTACTGGAGAGGATTTTAACGTTATCACTTTGTTATTTTAAAGGCTACGACTTTCATTTTTGCACAGTAAGCCTTAATTTATATCGTCTATGGACTGATAACAATAGATTCCAGAGTAAATCATTCTAATTTGGTTGCCACGACACTTAGTGGATTTGATTTGGCCACTAACTGGAAACTCTAACGTAGGGTTTGCGGTATTGAAATCAAAGGCATACAAGGTAAATGTTTAAGGGTCGTATTCCAGAACTCTTCTCAATGCTCAAGACTTGAGTATAATTTCTAGTGCTTGAAATCATACTCAAGTCCTAACTTGAGCATTGGGTAGAGTTCTGGAATACGACCCTTAGTCATCGAAAGAAAAAATAATGCGAGTAGCAAAATTTCTGTTTTGGTATGTTTTTTAACAAAATCAACAGGTTTACAATCAAACAATTATTAATTTTAGTGTAATTAGATAGTGTAACAACCGTAATTGGAAAGTTAAGTAGAAAAAAATGTATATTGTTTTAATAAATAAACAAAGTTTAAAAAACAAATTCAACCAACTTCAGAAACCACAAATAGTCACTATACTTACTAAAAAGTGAAAAATAACAAAATACAAACTTAATCCAAATGACAACAATGCATAGGTAATACTATGTATTTATTTTTGTCTTTTTAAATTGAAACAATATACATCAAATTCGCTGCTTCCTTATTAAAATGAATATGAATAAAAATAGATTTCGATATTAATCGGACAATTGTCAGACTAGGAATGAAGAGGGTAACAATGCAATTAATAATCATTTGAACGTCATAACATTCACAATTCAGTCATTTTTGGCAAAATTTTACCTTCTTTCACAATCTATCGATAAAACTTTCGACAATAAATACATGAAATACGACTATTTAAAAATGTCAAAACTGGCAACCATGCAAATACATGATCCGAGCTATCAATGTAAAAATATGTCCATGTCCATTGCTTTTAGCTTCACCATAATCGAGTAAGTCTGTGTTAAATAGAAATTTCGGATTTTGTTTCAGAAATATTTTGCAGAAAGTCACATTCCTGTACTCATAGTGGGCACTAGGGGGGATGCTCTGATCGCGCGACAGGAGTACATACTACAGCCTGAAGTGTTCTGCGCTAAGTACCAACTGCTGCCACCCCAGGTGTTCCTTATCAAGGAGAACAAACAGGATGTTTTCGTCAAACTCGCCACTATGGCTGCATTTCCGTAAGTATTGACTACACTATCCTGGATGTACTGTGTTATGTGTACAAAATAGTAAATCATTTTAGAAAATATCCATAATGATTGCAAAAGTGTCTGAACTTTTTTTTATTAAAAAAATTAATGCGCATTTGACCTCCGGCTCACTTCATGGAAAGTGACGGTGAGGTCGACTATGTTGTCTTTAATTTTGAGTGAACAAAATGTTTTAAAAAACTCTGTCAGTTCTGAAATATTAAACATTTAGAAAAATAACAAGCGGCGGCAGTACAAAGAGGGGCGGGGTCTGCCAAAAATCCGGAATAACCGAAATACACCCGGAATATAACTAACTGCCAGTACATTCTAACGGATTAAATTAATGTCTTAAATGCAACGACCCCAAATTGAAATTATTGTACTTTCATCACTTTTATATTTTAATCAGAACAAATGAATAACTCATATAAATTAGAATTAAATACCAAATTTGTAAGACCCACAGTAACAAATCGATATTCTCAGACTATTAACAGAAATATGTTAAGAGCTTGGTAATTTAATTGTTTCTGTCAGTCAATTTCAAGCTGCTTGGATGTTGTTCAGCAAACACAGGTCAGTAGCATGAGGTTAATTTGTCGATTTTTTTAGTTGGCTGTAAACGTCACTACTTTTTTTTTAACAATTTTCCCGACAACCACACCAATTGTCAGGTCTCAAACTAGGGAATTCTTTTCGTCACGACACGACACGTCAGACAAATGTAAATCCGGCTTCAGTCTCTTATTTATTTTTCTTAAGGTATTTCGGCTTCGCTAGGTGTAAAGCTTGGCTGCCTTGGTGGCCGAATAGGCGATGAAGAGGTCCCGGGTTCGATTTCAGGTAGGACTAATTTAGGAAACTTTTCCAAGTTGGTTCTGGCCTGGATATTCTGAGAAGTGACTCAGAGTTATTGTTGCTCTGGTACTCATATCACAGAGAATTCCCTAGTTTGAGACCTGACAATTGGTGTGGTTGTCGGGAAAATTGTTATTAATTGTTTGTTTGTAAATCCGGCTTAAGCAGGTCAACCCATAGGGTTAAACTGTAGAACACATCGATGAGTAAACTGCAATACCTCTATATTTCTCACCGTCCGCATTCGCCCGAGTCCGGTTTCTTTAGACACATTACCGTGTTGCAGACATTTGAAGCACTTCGCAAGTCTGGCCGGGGAGAACTCTTCGTGGTGGAAGGCAGGCATCGGTGTGGCCGCCGCCACTATCATGGGGCTCGTACTTATCAAGATTTTCAACTTTCAGAGACGATGAATTGTCAGTTGCCTTCGCACCTAGTGTTGTACATAACTTGTATTATGTAGTATTATGGTTGTACCCATTTAATTTTGTAGAAGCTACAAATGTTTTTGTTGTAATAAAGTAATGTTAGGAGTAAAAAAATAATGTCCGTATTGTCCTGAGGGAAATTGAATTTAGAGTGAAGTTATATATTGCTAAGGTGATTTTGTTGCCATGTCGAAATTCAGGTACACATTATTTTACTGTCAAACAGGAAAAGACATACTTTTGTCTGAATTAAATGAGAACAACCTATTAAATCTCCTTTTATTGATGTAAACCAAAGAGAATGTTAAAAAACATAGTATAATTTCAGTTGTAAATACAGTATTTTGATTTATTAGTATTTTAACTTTTTCGTTATCATTTCGCCATATTTATTTCCAAATATTCAGCAGAACCTAGTACTTTCTTAAGTAATTTGTCCAATTAACATTATAAATGCCTGTAAGGTCAATAGTTACGCAGAAATTGGAGGAATAGCGGCATGTGGGCCCCTAGAATCTCACCATTCACCAATAGTCGATACAAGTAGGCTCATTACTTTTATGTATTTTATTGAGAGTGGATAACGTTATCTGTAAAAACTCAAATATTGTTTTACAACTCTTCAGTCCATTCATTCTTCCATATTCAAAATAAAATGTACACTCACACAAAAGCTTGAGCCTGCAAGGCATCGAGTCGCAGACATTTATTATTTTAACTAAAACATTACTTTTATAGGGATTTGCAACTTTGAAACGGTTACTATTTTGTTCTGTATAATTATTCAACTTTAATTCAGTATAAATATGCGTTTTGTCCGCTTATCATGTTCGTTTCTATAAAACAATACTTTCACTCTGCCGCGTAGCTAGCTAATTAGGCTGATTTAGGCATGATTATTTACACTATAAATTATTCTTGTTTGGGGAGACCCCTTGTTATGGAAAACAGCAATCTCTTGCCTTATGCTAACGATCTCACTGAACTTTACGACTTCGAACCTTTTTCGGTTGGGCGTTAATAATTTAAATTTCAATCATATTTAATTGACTAAAACATTAATTTTAATCGAATTGATCTTAATTGTGATTCGCAATTAAATCAATTGCAATATTTTTTTTTAATTGTCTTATGAAACATTTAAATTCGAAACTACTGAATAAAAGCGTCAACTATATATACTCTGCGATGAAATCGAAATCTGAAAATGTAAACAGAAGTGCCTTTGAGTGCCTGTGAGTGCCTTCAAGCACCTTCAAGCGCCCGCGAGCGCCTTTGAGTGCCTTGTGAGTGCCAGCGAATACCTTTGGGTGCCCTCGAGTGCCTTTGAGTGCCAGCGTGTGCCTTTGGGGCCTTGGGAGTATCCGCGGGTGTCTTTGAGTGCCCGCGAGTGCCTTTGAGTGCCAGGGACTCACAGGCACTCATACCTAAACCTACAGGTTGTAAAGATAATTGAAAAATATTATTATTCTTAACAGTATTTCTGTTTTGAAATAATCTATGTCAAATGCAGTACTTACATATTGATATTTTAATACCAACATCGCGGTTTTGGTATCTCGATTATGGGTAGTATGATCATGAATTAGAAATATTTTGATACATCGTCGGGGATAGTGTAAATCCGCGTATGTAGTATTGGTAAAAAGCATGTATCTGTACTAAATCAAATTTTACAGGAGAGGGATTAAACTTTTTTTTTAATTTAAAGTTTGTACTACTTTCATTTTTGCTCAGTAAGTATTAATTCATGTTGTCTACCGGCTGATAACAATAGATTCCCTTAAATCACGTAATTTGGTTACCACGACATTTACGCGGATTTGATTTGACCACAAAATTACCAAAATGGAAATATATCATAATCAAATGTACTATCCCTGACGATATGTTATTGGCAATGTAATCCGGTATTCCATACAATGTTTAAAACAGTCAGTCAGTGTTTGAAATAAACTCTTAAACTTGGTCTAGGTTACAGACGTAGATATATGTATGAGGTCTAGGTATGAAACAATGTCGAACGTGCACTGGGCAAAGTCAAGTAAGAGTAAGTAGGTGTTAGAAGAATTAATTGGTAAGTAAATACATAATGACATATGAAATATGTAATAGGTAAATTACGTATGATATTTGTTTCAGAAATATACCTAGTTTTTCGAACAAAATATAATAAGTAGCGACAACGAAAATACTGATACCTAAACTGAATATGCACGCTACATAAATCAAACTTAACTAAGTTGAATGCATTAAGCAAAAGTGTTTTATGTATTTAGTGATTATCTGATATTTGAAATCCATTAATTATTTGACTAACTATAAAAATTTAAGCTCAACTTTATTGGAACGACACACCCATTAAACGGGTTCCCTACTTGAGATAGAATGCCGTTTGATCGAACATTAATTGCTCGAAAACGTTGGCTCGATTGTCCGTTTCACCTATAAATCGTGAGCTCTAAAGGTTTTCCACATCGATGCATCAAAATCTCGAAAGAACATTTGCTCTAACGATCAACAGCAGCTCGATGACACTTTGAAATGTAAAAAAATACAAAATGCGACATATAGGTAACTAAATTTTTCGAGAAATCACTTTTTCGGCTGATGATCGTTAGAGCAAAATGTTCTTACTACATACGTGAGGCGCACTATAAGTTTACAGAATGAATAAGAAAAAAATACTATAAATGGTCAGAAATGAATTTACCTGTTGCTTCTCAAAATATTCTCCGTTAGCGTTAATGCACTTTTTCGTACGAACGAACCAATTTCGAAAACATTTATGCCACTCCTCCGTGACAATTTCTGAAACATATTTTTCATACTCTTCGACAGCCTCTTCAGGTGATTCAAATCTTTGATTGCGCTGGCGTCGAACTAGTTCTTAATTTTTGGAAATAAATAAAAGTCACAAGGTGCCTGGTCAGGACTGTACGTGGGATGGCTCATAAGGTCAACATTGTTCACCTTCAAAAATTCATTTGTCTGTCTGGCCTTCTGAGAACTGGTATTATCGTGGTGCAAGATGATACCTATGGCGTTTACGGTTATTTTTACGGAGTTTTATTGACAAACTCCGTAAAACTTCCGGCAAACATGTGGTCGTGTAGAGTACCAATCACTATTCACGGTACAACGATTTTCCAAAGCGACAGTAGCCACGTGTCCAGTTTTATTAAAAAAGAAGCAATCATCCGCTTAGAGACACTTTGCACGCGCGCCATTTTGGTTGGTTTCGGCTCATCTCGAAAGACCCATACGCTCGATTGTTGCTTTCGTAACTATAAATCCATGTTTCGTCACCTGTTACTATGTTCCACACCAAATTTGACGCCCCTTTGTTGAATTTGGTAAGCATGGCATTGCACCAAGTGACACGGTCTGTTTTTTGAGCCTCAGTCAAATTGTGTGGGATCCACCGAGAGCACAGCTTTTTCACATCCAAATGTTTGTGTAGTGTTGATTGTATTTGACTCATGCCTATGCCTAAACATGCCCGAATCTCATGGTATTCACATGCCTATCTGTTTTGGCGCACAGCATCGATGTTTTTGTTGTTCACACTTCACAGGAGTGGACGGACGACCATCACGAAATTCGTCATGGAGATTCACACGACCGAGTTTGAATTTTGAAACCAGCTATAAATAGTTGTCTTGCATGGTGCTTCATCGCCAAAAGCAGTTTGAAGCCGAGCGAAGCCCCGCTGAGTTGTTAAATTACACTTACAGTCGTAGAAAATCATACTACGAAAATTTTCATGAGTTAAATCCATGGTGATGTAGACAACCAATTTCTAAAATGACGCTGCAATGTAAAACAAGTGACAGTCAGATGAAACAAACTGTATTCTACGGCCAAAGAGTTCCATTTCCAGATGTTGTAATTACTTTTTAAATATTGTTTATGTAAGTGGCCAGTTCCGGAAACTTATAGTGCGCCCTAATATATGTACTAAACTAAAATCCATCTACCTAATTCTTAGTAGAAATATATCTGAATAATTTTTTGTTATACCTACATAATAGTAAACTCAAAAGGCACAGTTGACGTCAATCATTTCGTACTCTCTCTGAAAAAATTTCGTCTGCTTTAGGACGGTTTAATTGTATAGACAGAATTTTAGACAGCGATTAATTTTTGATTCCAATAATTAAAACTATTTGAACGCGATAATATACTTTAAACACTTTTTAAAATAATTTGATGAAAATACAAGAAAAATACCTATTTTTTTCATAAAGTTTATTCACCACAGTAAAAATATTTTAAAATATGAGCAGGTACTTACTTATGAAAATAACACGTGGTACATCGACTGTGAACTGGCAACCGGTACTATCTCAATTTTGACAACTTTACATTAAATAAAAATGCGTAGTGTAGATACATACATGTGTAATAAAAATATTTAAAAATTACGTATTTTTATTTAATAAACCAGATGCTATATAAATGACGCATACAATTTTTTTCTTCATTCTGTAAAGAGATAATAGGTACCGATTGCCAATTCACAATTGATATGCATGGCATCGTTTACTTTACAGTACAATATGAGATTACATGTGAATAGGTTCAATGTCAAATTATTTAACATTTCTAATTGATAATCAATTAATTTGTAGAAATCAATGTGTTATCATTATTTCAGTAAAATAATTCTACTCCAAACTTCTCAGAGAATAATTTGTATAGACTATTCAATGAATGGCTCTCGTCTAAATGTTGGTCACACAGAAGTTTTATAGACTAGTTATAAACCAAACACTAAGTTGTATATGAAATACTTTTTGTTATCACCGTGCCCTAAAAGGGTCTGAAAATATTCTATATAACTCATGTATAACTAGTAAATTTTATCTTAATTATGACTATTAGATGTTAAGAATGCTTTACTAGTAAGTGATAATTATGAGTGATTATATGTTAAGTTTTTGTAATGTCATGTGGTAAGGTAATAATTAGGTATACCTACAAGTAAATTGCAATACTATATGAATAATAAAGCTTAGGGTGTTATAATTAACACCCAACACAACACTTTCTGTTTTCTTCTTAATAGAAGAAAAAAGGGAACTTATAGGTATCGATCACGGAATACATGAACAATACAAAAACTAAATTATTACCTAATAAACTTAGATAAATACCTGAATAGTTACCGGGAACTTTTTTGCCTGTTTTTTAATGATTTTATTAATTTTCAATAACGGTTTATAAATGAAACTCTAACTTCTAAATTCATCGTTCATTTACTCAGTACTTATTTCCTAAGATTTGACCCTA